GCTGACTGGGCATATTTTTACGCAAGGAGTGAGAATGGATTATTTGTTGCAATTTATGATATATTTGGACTTGTAAAGACGTCTTAAACTGCTTCTCGGGTGGCTTTTGGAATTTAAAGTCAGTGTTGTAATTTCTTCGCACAAGTTTGGTTAAACTATAAGAAATTTCCGCTCGCTGGTTCAGTCAACAAACCACTGGGACTGTATTTCCTTTTTTCCAATTTTCCTTTATTCAAACAATCTTTTACAATCAATCAAACTAACCATTCTACATACATTTCATACTAATACACTCTAATACTCACACTTTCCAATCACCCAATACCATTACAATATAATATTTTTACACTCATATTTATACTCTAAAACTAGAAAACTATTTTTCTGTTCATAAGTCATGTTTAACCACATAAAGTTCCTTCCCTTAGTCACGTCTAAGGTGTGTCATATTTTCATCCCATTTTAACTTTGAAACGTGCTGTATCTACATCATGCTTACGCGCAATTTATGTTAATTATTGCGTATTCACGTTTCGCGGTCGCTGCGCCCACATCGCGCCTTAATCTTGAAGTTCCTTAACACACTCCCCCCGCTTGACTCGCTATGAGTCAAGCATTAACCTAGATTTGCATTTCGAATCAAGCGCTGCCTTCCTTGGAGGAGTACTTCTTTTTGATTTGTTGGTTTCTGCGCTATTACTTTTTGCCGGCGCAGTACCTACCCACCCCTCTTCCCTCTGACTTTTTATCTCTAAGGGGTACAATTTTTGAACTGGTCTGGTAGGTACACGGGTCGTCCACTAGAAACCACTTTTACTTTTGCTCCTCTCACTACGCAATCTCTTCCTTTAACTAACTCAACTACAACTGCCATCTTCCATTCGCCTCTCTTTCTATCGTCGTCCTGAACTATTACAACATCACCTACCTTTGGAGCAATGGCTGATCCATCACCTTTGTCCCTATGAGCTTCTCTAAGTCCTATCAAGTACTCTTTCCTCCACCTGTTCCAAAAGTGTTCTAATCTATTACTGAGATACCTAAATCTTGCTGTACACTCGCGTTCACCTATAGCTTCCTCTCGCTCGTCTACCACATCAGGTAATGAATTTATTCTCCTACCGAAAATCAAATGAGATGGAGTTAACACCTCTTCTCCCACTTCATCATACTCGTACGTCAACGGTCTAGAATTAAGCGTACACTCTACTTCTACTAACACTGTTTCTAACTCATCTCTTTTCAATCTAGCTCTACCTAATGTCTTTCTTAAACACTGCTTCACACAGCCTACCATTCTCTCAAAGAAGCCACCCCACCAGGGTGCTCTTTCTAAATTGAACTTCCATTCTATTCTCATATTATTAAAGTATGACTTTATTTCTGGATGATCAAATAACTTATTCAAATCCTTTTCTGTTGCTTGAAAGGTTTTCGCATTATCTGAAACTATTAGCTTAGGCATTCCCCGCCGCGCTGTAAATTTCCGCAAGCAACGCTTAAACGCTTCTGCCGACATTTCATCTACTAATTCTAGGTGGACTGCTCTGGTGACGCAGCAAGAAAACAATGCGATATATACCTTTTTCATCTCACCAGAAGCATCCTTTGCATATAGCGGTCCTGCAAAATCTATTCCTACTCTGGAAAATGGTGGCGCTTTAGTCACCCGAAACTCTGGTAGTGCTGCTGTTGCTGGCTCTTTATATGACTTGCCTATCAGTCTTTTGCAAGTAACACATTGATTCAAAATCTTTTTGACAATCTGTCTGCCCTTCGGCACCCAAAATATTGACCTTAATTCCGCTAACGTTGATCTAACACCGCAGTGGTGTACTTTCTGGTGGCATGCTTCTATTACCGAACGAGTAAACTTATGCTCTTTTGGCAACAAAATCGGTTTCTGGGCATCTAATTCCAAATCTGAATTGCCAAGTCTACCTGTACATCTTAAAACTCCGTCTTCTTCAACTAATCCTAGTTTTCGAACCAACTGCTTATAATTATCTTGTTCCTTTAATTCACACTGGGTCGCTTTTACCCATTCTATTTCGGCTCTATTAATTTCTTCCGCTGTCAAATTAGTCGTTACACATTCATTTTTATTCAAAAGTTTTCTGAAATTGTTAACTGCTCGTCTTACCCATGCTGTAACCTTCAGAAGTCTCATTAGACTGCTGTAACGTTCTATATCAATTACAGCCTTTAAACTGCTTACTTGGTCTTTCTTAACAGACAAAATTGTTGCGAACTTCTTCTCTTCAAGAAAACTCTCTGGCGTTTTACTAATTTCAAAATATGATGGCCAATTACTTGGTTGCTCTGATAACCATGTCGGTCCGTTCCACCATAACTGATTACCCTTTAACTGTGAGGCTAGAACCCCCCTACTTCCTATATCCGCAGGATTTTCATGCGTTGAAACATACGACCACTCATCCTTATTTGTCAATTGTAAAATCTCATTAACCCTATGTTTTACAAATTGCTTCCATTCTCGTTGGTTCCTTATCCAACACAGAGCTGTTTTGCTATCTAGCCAGTATCGAACGCCATCTAATTTTAGCTGTGAACTTAGCGCGCTGCGAATAGTGTTTACAAGCTGTGCAAGTATCCTAGCTGACATTAATTCCAAGCGCGGAATCGACAATTCTTTCAAAGGTGCTATCCTAGTCTTACTTGCTATCAATTTTGCGTGCGTCTCTCCGCCTCCCGTACGATAAACCAAATACACTACAGCGCAATACGCATTCTTGGACGCGTCGCCAAAGCCATGTAAATAACATTCAGAAATATTTCCTACATTTGCATCATATAAACATCTGTCAACGTATATCTCTCGTGTTGCAACTAAATCTTTAATCCACTTATCTAATCGCTTTTTCATGTCATTGCCAAATGTGTCGTCCCATCCTAACTTACTCTTACAGACATCTTGAAACAGTATTTTCATGCTTACAATAATTCCACTGATTAAACCTAACGGATCAAACAAGCTACTTAATAAACTCAACAAGCTTCTTTTGGTCGGTTCCGAGCTTTCTTTCTTACGTGCAATGTGTTCAAAATTGAAACGTATTGTGTCATTCTGTAAATTCCATGCCAATCCTAAAACTTTTTCACCCTTTGTTCCACTTTGAGGAACCAATTTTGATTTTGCATACGTTTCGTCTTCTTCCAAACCCCTAATTACTTGTTGTGGCACATCCTTCTCAGACTCACAAATTTTCTGTCTTAATGTCGGATCATTTGTTTTCCACTTACGCAATCGAAAACCTCCGCTTTCCATTCGAGATCTAGCCTTATTATATAACTCAAATGCATCTTCGCTTGTGTTTCCGCCTGATACTAAATCATCCACGTAAAATCCTTCTAGCATTTTCCTTACGAAACATGGATCGGTCGAAACAAACTTATTTAAATGATGTCTAATTGTGGCATTCAATAAAAACGGTGACGCATTTAACCCAAATACTACACGACAAAAACGATAAACAATAGTTTCGGCACTTTCCTTCTTATAGTCATCTACCCACAAAAATCTTAAACAATCTCGATCGCCTGGATCGACTTCAATATTAAGAAACGCTTTCTCAATATCTCCTACGAGCGCAACCTTATTTTCTCGAAACCTAACAAGTATATCAAACAACAGTGGATTCAATGATGGTCCTGTGTGCAAACAATTATTCAAGGACGTTCCGTTCTTAGACTCCTTTGCTGACGCATCATACACAATTCTTATCTTAGTGGTCTCGGCCTCTTTCCTAATTACTGCTTGATGCGGCAAATAGTGCAACTTATCGCTTGGCTTTTCCAGCGCTGCAACCGGTTCTATTACTCCAGTCTTTAACTGATCCTTAATTATCGCGTCATAATCTGCCAACACTTCCGGATCTTTGCGCAATTTCCTTAATTGGTTTTGCATGCGAGCTAAACTGTTTACGTAATTACTGGGCAAGGGTTCATGACCCTGCTTCCATGGCAACTTTACCGAATACTTGCCATCTTTAAAACTTACTTCATTTTCAAACGTTTCATGCACCTCATCATTTACTCTAATACCAATCGAATCTAAATCCCACAGTCTTCTCACTTCACTCTCTAAACTAACACTATCTGTGTCTACTCTTTGCTGGGAAAGGAAATGAACTGAATAATCCTGTCTGCCTCTCCCTTCACATGGTTTAAGAGGACCACTCAAAACGTATCCCAACTCAGTTTCAATTGCAACCGGCTCCTCAGGCTCCCACCGTATGGTTCGGCCCCTCTGAAACTTCCAAATATAATCTGAACCGATCAACAAATCAATTTCAAGCTCCTCTTTGGTCCGGAATACGTCTGAAAACCAAAGGTTACGCAAATGCGAAAAGTCTTTCTTAACGACTTCAACGTGCTCGTTGCTTATTCGTGAAATCTCCGGCACGACATAAGCCTCGAGTGTCAGATTCCCACCACCGCTTACAGGAATCAGGTCGATAAGAACTACATCACGCAATCCCGATTCAGTGGTTTTCCGACCAAACGTACTTATGCTAAGCCACTCCTTCCTAAGCAATTTTAAATTATGCGCGCGTGCTACGTCCGCAGTTACGAACGATTTATGACTCCCAGAGTCAAACATTACTCTTACTCTATTACTACTATTACTACCCTTAATTAGCGCTTGGGCTGTTTGGAGCGCGATCCTACTGCTGCCCCCAACTAACATGCTGGCAGGTACATTAACTATATGGGTGCTCGCCTCATTCCCTACTTGCGCACCCTCCTCCCCTGATGCACTGCTTACTTCAGTTTCGCATAAAGCACTATGGTGACCCCCCTTACAGTTTTTACATTGAACAACTACTTTACAGTCACGTGCACAATGTCCTTTCTCTAAACATTTATAGCATCGAGCAAACTTACGTATCAAGTTCCTTCGTTCTCTCATATCTTTCACTCTGGCACAATCTTCATGGCGATGCTTCCCCATACAGAACGCACATCGATCTTTATCCCGACCAGAATCCAGATTCACTTGTAGTGCACTCGCGTTGTACATTCTCCTTCCATTTCCAGCAGGAGGTTTCACTTGTGGCGTCAGTCTATAGTCTTCCCGTAATTCCACCTCGGTTAACAGTGCTTGCAATAATTCTTTTATACTCCATTTAAGGTATTCTTCCCCTCTAGTGATAGTAAGTCTCACCGAATCTGGAATCTTCTCCAATAACGTTGGTACCACAATACCAGAGTATGTATTTTCGTCGACCTTTAACGCGCACAATCCACGATAATGGGTCTCCACCGTGTCGTGCAATATTCTGAGTCCACGCACATCCTTTTCGCCGTACACTGGTGGCACTTTCAACAATTGGCTCACATGAGCCCGTTCTATAGCAACTTTCTTGCCAAATCTCCGTTCCAACAGCTCTACAGCCGCGGCGTAATTCTCCGCCGTCAGGGAAAATCCCGCAATCGTAGCTTTCGCCGGTCCCTCAATCAACCCACGTAGGTATGAAAACTTATCTACGTCAGATAACCGCGTATTGTTATGGATAGCACTTTTGAAGCTATCCCAAAACTCTTGCCATTCATGGATCTTTCCGTCGAATTTTCTCACTTCCAGCTTAGGTAGTCTTGCGTGGCTCGACGATCCGCCGTTCTCTAGATCCGCCATCGCATTCGAGCTACTGCTGCTTGGCTCCGTAGCCAAGGTTTGTTCTCCTGTCGTCGTGAGGGCCCCGTTGATCAATATGATCGCTTCTTGCATCTCTGCCCGTACTTTCGCAGAGCTTTCTATCTCTTCCAGAAACGCTTCGTATGTAGCTTCACTCGCGCAAATCATGTCTTGTATCGCCGTATCTAATACTCTCAATGTTTCTAATTTTTCTTCGAGACCAACTTTCGCCTGCTCTACCGCACTTTTCCGTTGCCCGTCATAGGTCTCCACTAACTCACGAGCACCGCTTATTAACTTCGCCGCGTGGCCTCGATGCCCACCTCTCATCTTCTTTTTCGTACCTAATTCCGACATAGTTCTCAATTCAACAAATCGTTCAATTCACTCAGTATTCTCAATCAATCTATCCGGCACGAAGGACCAGTTGTTGTAATTTCTTCGCACAAGTTTGGTTAAACTATAAGAAATTTCCGCTCGCTGGTTCAGTCAACAAACCACTGGGACTGTATTTCCTTTTTTCCAATTTTCCTTTATTCAAACAATCTTTTACAATCAATCAAACTAACCATTCTACATACATTTCATACTAATACACTCTAATACTCACACTTTCCAATCACCCAATACCATTACAATATAATATTTTTACACTCATATTTATACTCTAAAACTAGGAAACTATTTTTCTGTTCATACGTCATGTTTAACCACATAAAGTTCCTTCCCTTAGTCACGTCTAAGGTGTGTCATATTTTCATCCCATTTTAACGTTGAAACGTGCTGTATCTACATCATGCTTACGCGCAATTTATGTTAATTATTGCGTATTCACGTTTCGCGGTCGCTGCGCCCACATCGCGCCTTAATCTTGAAGTTCCTTAACAGTCAGGAATGATCAATTTAGAGATACAATTATGCGTAAAATTAGCGCTTTGGCAAGCAAAAGAACATCTTATATCGCGACAACAGCATACCTTGTCAGCGATATACAGGGGCTATTCAATAATTAAAGTATAAATATTTATATTCGAGTACAACATTGGTCATTTCAAAATTAACAGACTAGAAATCTTACTGGTAACGTGGCTGGCTGCCGATTATCTTGGATTTGATGGTTTTGAACAAGATATTGCAAGATTTAATTATAAATGCACAAGATATACTGTCCTGTAAACATGCATCTACTTGAAGAATGTAAAATGAACAGTGATGAGTGATGTAATATAATTCTGTACTTTAATATTTGGAAAACCTTTTTAGCAAATCTTGAGAATAATGGCTTTGGGAATCAATGTTGAAAATTAAAAAGGACATGGACAGCATGGTTAGAAGCATACATGTTATCGGATGAAACTCCAACTTTTGTTAATTGCTGATGTTCTAGTATTGGAATGAACAGTGTTATAAGAACCAATGGTGCTGAACTAATTTGGGTTTATTATAAAATATTGTTTATCATTTAGTTCTGGCCATTAACCTTACCTATTAAGTTATACATTGTGTCTTACTTTTTATTTTACTCTGGTGTGCACCCCCCCCCAGGCTCTGGTCAACAGGGGTGCATGGGGGGGGGGGTGCAAAAATGATGCTTATCCTAATTCTAACCAACTTATGTTAAGGAATTCAGTTGCATATCACTAGTTGACAATAGTGGAATAGCCAATATTAAATTTCTGAATTTTTAAATGTTTTGAGAATCTAAAAATTTTCCAGAATGTTTTCTCAGAATGCTGGAAATGCATTTCAGAGACCCAAATTTTAAAAATTTTCCGTGGTAGTATGCCCCCAGACCACCCTAGAAATCTCGCGCCTTTGGCTCTCGTTTCGCCATTGGTTAGCACCCCCCAAAAAAACTTTGCTGGATAGATGTTGGGATAGATCATTGGTGTTCAATGGATTATCTCATAATACACACTAGTTTGTTAACCTACTCTGTCTAATCATGCTAACACCATCATTGGCAATGGAATTGAGCAGTGATGTAGCCAGAATTTCTAATTAAGGCCTTCAAGGGGGACTGAAATCCCCAGGAGGGGCCTGCACTAGTTTGAATAAAGTTTGTTAGTATGTAAAAATATATTTGGACTCCCAAGCTATCCATGTATAATATAGTACAATGTAGACTTTTTAAATTATAGTTAATAAAGTGCCATTTTGGGGGGCTATTTTAATGTGTTTTGGTGATTTGAAATAACCTTGCAGTTAACACATGTTCAACTCTAATTAATTACAAACAAGTTCAGAACATTTAAAATATTTTGATACCCCCCACCCCCCCCCCCTCTGGTTACACCACTGGAATTGACTTGAGCCTTTCAGACCTCTGAATTTTAGTTGCAACTTAGAACAGTGTTCTGACATGCAAGAAAATTGTGAGAAAATTTGTGCAAAAGCATTTCTCTAATAGGTTGTTCCAGAAAATATCCACACTCCCCCCACAGAGGAAATTTCTGCCGTTCAGAAGGGGAGGGGGGGGGGGAAATTTTTCTGATAATAGTAAATATATTAGGACATCCAAAGGGGTAGGAGGGATTAACTTTCAATTTCCTCTGTGGGAGTGGTATGAGTGTTTTCTGGAATGACCCAATATAACTGTGGTTTTTTTTCCAAATCTAATCAAACTGTCAAATTGTCAATCCTTGTACATCGGGAGGGGAAATTTTGGAGAAAAATAAAATTGTGCCCGATCAGGTTGTGGGTCCACCTGTAGGCCTGGTCATAGGCGTACAGGGCTGGGCTCAAATGTTGGGCAGACTAGGCCAGTCGGGCAATATTTACTTCACAGTTGGGCAATATTGGCTTATTATAAAAATAAATAGGAGAAATTATTCCCTTAATATTGGGGGAAATATGCTATATAATGGTCGAAAATTTAGTTCATTTTGATTAATAGTCATTTAATATATGTGCTATCAACAGTTTCTTTATGGTATTAAGTAACAGATTACAAGGTTTCTACATTAGATCTAGAGATTTAGAGGCAGTAATAACTCAATAATAAATAGGCACTAATACAAACTCTGAGCCAGTGCACCCAGCATCCTCAAGTTGGGAATAATTTGTAAATTTAAATATTTGTGTATAATTCATAATTTATCCTATTCCAATACAAAATGCAATAATATAGAACACACAATTTATCAAATAAAGGTAAAAAAGGTATTAAAAACTTTATTATGTAATATTTACATTGAATATCGTGGTTGAAGTTGTAGATTTATACTTGAAATTTCAGTTTTCGAACGAGCAATGTTTCGCTTTATTATGTTAATTTTTTTACTCTGTTCGCCATTCTTGCTTATTTACAAATAAAAATGTCCATTTCTTTTTTTGCTCTTTTCAAAATAGCCCAGAATTTGATTTAAAAAAGTATTTTCATGCAAAAACCAGCATTTAACTTTTGTATACACTACTTGAGATAGAAGCCATGTTGCCAAAATATCACCCGGTTAATGAATAACTTCCAGTACTTTCATTGTATTCGCATTGACCAATCAAATCACGTTCTCAGTTGGATTATCCCAGGGCTTCTGAGAGCAATAAGCGCAGAAGCATTGGGTACGAGGTTGTGTCCTCAGCGTCAGGAACCTTGTCCTCAGCGTCAGGAACCTTGTCCTCACCGTCTGGAACCTTGTCCTCACAGTCGGGAACCTTGTCCTCAGCGCCAGGAACCTTGTCCTCAGCGTCAGGAACCTTGTCGTCAGCGTCAGGAACCTTGTCTCCACAGTCAGGAACCTTGTCCTCACCATCAGAAACCTTGTCCTCACCGTCAGGAACCTTGTCCTCACCGTCAGGAACCTTGTCTTCAGCATCAGGAACCTGGTCCTCAGCGTCAGGAACCTTGTCCTCAGCGTCAGGAACCTTGTCCTCAGCGTCAGGAACCTTGTCCTCACCGTGAGGAACCTTGTCCTCACAGTCAAGAACCTTGTCCTCACGGTCAGGAACCTTGTCCTCATCGTCAGGAACCTTGTCCCCACCGTCAGGTACCTTGTCCTCACCGTCAGGAACCTTGTCCTCACTGTCAGGAAGCTTGTTCTCACAGTCAGGAACCTTGTCCTCACAGTCAGGAACATTGTCCTCAGCGTCAGGAACCTTGTCGTCAGCGTCAGGAACCTTGTCTCCACCGTCAGGAACCTTGTCCTCACCATCAAGAACATTGTCCTCACAGTCAGGATCCTTCTCCTCAGCGCCAGGAACCTTGTCCTCACCGTCAGGAACCTTGTCCTCATCGTCAGGAACCTTGTCTTCAGCATCAGGAACCTGGTCCTCAGCGTCAGGAACCTTGTCCTCAGCGTCAGGAACCTTGTCCTCAGCGTCATGTACCTTGTCCTTAGCGTCAGGAACCTTGTCCTCACCGTCTGGAACCTTGTCCTCAGCGTCAGAAACCTTGTCCTCAGCGTCAGGAACCTTGTCCTCACCCTCAGAAACCTTGTTCTCGCCGTCAGGAACCTTGTCCTCACTATCAGGAACCTTGTTCTCAGCGTCAGGAACATTGTCCTCACCGTCAGGAACCTTGTCCTCTCCGTCAGGAACCTTGTCATCACCGTCAGGAACCTTTTTCTTACCTCAGGAACCTTGTACTCACTGTCAGGAACCTTGTCCTCAGCGTCAGTAACCTTGTCCTCAGCGTGAAGAACCTTGTCGTCAGCGTCAGCGTCAGGAACCTTGTCCTCACAGTCAGGAAGCTTGTCGTCACAGTCAGGAACCTTGTCCTCACAGTCAGGAACCTTGTCCTCAGCGTCAGGAACCTTGTCGTCAGCGTCAGGAACCTTGTCTCCACCGTCAGGAACCTTGTCCTCACCATCAGGAACCTTGTCCTCACAGTCAGGATCCTTGTCCTCAGCGCCAGGAACCTTCTCCTCACCGTCAGGAACCTTGTCCTCACCGTCAGGAACCTTGTCTTCAGCATCAGGAACCTGGTCCTCAGCGTCAGGAACCTTGTCCTCAGCGTCAGGAACTTTGTCCTCAGCGTCAGGAACCTTGTCCTCACCGTGAGGAACCTTGTCCTCACAGTCAAGAACCTTGTCCTCACGGTCAGGAACCTTGTCCTCATCGTCAGGAACCTTGTCCCCACCGTCAGGTACCTTGTCCTCACCGTCAGGAACCTTGTCCTCACTGTCAGGAACCTTGTCGTCAGCGTCAGGAACCTTGTCCTCAACGCCTGGAACCTAGTCCTCAGCGATAGAAACCTCCTCAGCGTCAGGACTCTTGTCCTCACAGTCAGGAACCTTGTCCTCACCGTCAGGAACCTAGACCTCACATTCAGGAACCTTGTCCTCAGCGTCAGGAACCTTGTCCTCACCGTCAGGAACCTTGTCCTCACCGTCAGGAACCTTGTCCTCAGCATCAGCAACCTGGTCCTCAGCGTCAGGAACCTTGTCCTCAGCGTCAGGAACCTTGTCCTCAGCGTCAGGAACCTTGTCCTCACCGTCAGGAACCTTGTTCTCACAGTCAAGAACCTTGTCCTCACCGTCAGGAACCTTGTTCTCACAGTCAAGAACCTTGTCCTCACCGTCAGGAAGCTTGTCCTCATCGTCAGGAACCTTGTCCCCACCGTCAGGTACCTTGTCCTCACCGTCAGAAACCTTGTCCTCGCCGTCAGGAACCTTGTCCTCACTATCAGGAACCTTGTTCTCAGCGTCAGAAACCTTGTCCTCACCGTCAGGAACCTTGTCCTCTCCGTCAGAAACCTTGTCCTCACCGTCAGGAACCTTTTTCTTACCGTCAGGAACCTTGTCCTCACTGTCAGGAACCTTGTCCTCAGCGTCAGGAACCTTGTCCTCAGCGTCAAGAACCTTGCCGTCAGGGTCAGCGTCAGGAACCTTGTCCTCACAGTCAGGAAACTTGTCCTCACAGTCAGGAACCTTGTCCTCACAGTCAGGAACCTTGTCCTCAGCTTCAGGAACCTTGTCGTCAGCGTCAGGAACCTTGTCTCCACCTTCAGGAACCTTGTCCTCACTGTCAGGAACCTTGTCGTCAGCGTCAGGAACCTTGTCCTCAGCGTCAGGAACATTGTCGTCAGCGTAAGGAACCTTGTCCTCACAGGCAGGAACTTTGTCCTTAGCGTCAGGAACCTTGTCCTCACTGTCAGGAGCCTTGTTCTCAGCGCCTGAAACCTTGTCCTCAGCGTTAGAAACCTCCTCAGCGTCAGCAATCTTGTCCTCACAGTCAGGAACCTTGTCCTCAGCCTCAGGAACCTTGTCCTCAGCGTCAGGAACCCTGTTCTCAGCGTAGGAACCTTGTCCTCAGCGTTAGGAACCTTGTCCTCAGCGTCAGGAACCTTGTCCTCAGAGTCAGGAACCTTGTCCTCAGCCTCAGGAACCATGTCCTCAGCCACAGGAACCATTTCCTCAGGGTCAGGAACCTTGTCCTAGGCGTTACGAACCTTCTCGTCAGCGTTAGGAACCTTGTCCTCAGCGTTAGGAACCTTGTCCTCAGCCTCAGGAACCTTGTCCTGGGCGTCAGGAACCTTGTCTCAGCGTTAGGCCCCTTGTCCTCACCGTCCGGAACCTTGTCCTCACGGTCAGGAACCTTGTCCTCACAGTCAGGAACCTTGTCCTCAGCGTCAGGAACGTTGTCCTCACCGTCCAGAACCTTGTCCTCACCGTCAGTAACCTTGTCCTCACCGTCAGGTACCTTGTCCTCACCGTCAGCAACCTTGTCCTCACTGTCAGGAACCTTGTCGTTAGCGTAAGGAACCTTGTCCTCAGCGTCAGGAACCTTGTCCTCACCGTCAGGAACCTTGTCGTCACAGTCAGGAACCTTGTCCTCAGCGTCAGGAGCCTTGTCCTCACCGTCCGGAACCTTGTCCTCACCGTCATGAAACCTTGTCCTCACCGTCAGGAACCTTGTCCTCACCGTCAGGAACCTTGTCCTCATCGTCATGAAACCTTGTCCTCACCGTCAGGTACCTTGTCCTCACCGTCAGGAACCTTGTCCTCACTGTCAGGAACCTTGTCGTCAGCGTAAGGAACCTTGTCCTCAGCGTCAGGAACCTTGTCGTCAGCGTAAGGAACCTTGTCCTCACAGTCAGGCACCTTGTCCTCACAGTCAGGGACCTTGTCCTCACTGTCAGGAACCTTGTCCTCAGAGTCAGGAACCTTGTCCTCAGCGTCAGGACACTTGTCCTTACCTTCTGGAACCTTGTCCTCCGCGTCAAAAACCTTGTCCTCAGCGTCAGGAACCTTGTCCTCAGCGTTAGGAACCTTGTCCTTAGCGTCAGGAACCTTGTCCTCACCTTCTGGAACCATGTCCTCAGGGTCAGAAACCTTGTCCTCAGCGTCAAGAGCCTTGTCCTCAGCATCAGGAACCTTGTCCTCAACGGCAGGAACCTTGTCCTCACTATCAGGAATCTTGTTCTCAGCGTCAGGAACCTTGTCCTCATTGTCAGGAACCTTGTCCTCACCGTCAGGAACCTTGTCCTCTCCGTCAGGAACCTAGTCCTCACCGTCAGGAACCTTTTCCTTACCGTCAGGAACCTTGTCCTCACTGTCACGAACCTTGTCTTTACCGTCAGGAACATTGTCCTCACCGTGAGGAACCTTGTCCTCACCGTCAGAAACCTAGTCCTCACAGTCAGGAACCTTCTCCTCAGCCTCAGGAAACTTGTCCTCAGCATCAGGAACCTTGTTCTCAGCGTTAGGAACCTTGTCCTCAGCGTTAGGAACCTTGTGCTCAGCGTCAGGAACCTTGTCCTCACCGTCAGGAACGTTGGCCTCAGCGTCAGGAACCTTGTCCTCAGCCTCAGGAACCATGTCCTCAGGGTCAGGAACCTTGTCCTCAGCGTTACGAACCTTCTCCTGAGCGTTAGGAACCTTGTCCTCAGCGTTAGCAACCTTGTCCTCAGCCTCAGGAACCTTGTCCTCAGCGACAGGAACCTTGTCTCAGCGTTAGGCACCTTGTCCTCACCGTCAGGAATCTTGTCCTCAGCAACAGAAACCTTTTCCTCAGCGTCAGGAACCTTGTCCTCACCGTCAGGAACCTTGTCCTCACCATCAGGAACCTTATCCTCACCGTCAGATACCTTGTCCTCACCGTCAGGAACCTTGTCCTCACTGTCAGGAACCTTGTCGTCAGCGTAAGGAACCTTGTCGTCATCGTAAGGAACCTTGTCCTCACAGTCAGGAACCTTGTCCTCACAATCAGTAACCTTGTCCTCACTGTCAGGAAGCTTGTCCTCAGCTTCAGGAACCTTGTCCTCAGCGTCAGGACCCTTGTCCTTAGCGTCAGGAACCTTATCCTCACCGTCAGATACCTTGTCCTCACCGTCAGGAACCTTGTCCTCACTGTCAGGAACCATGTCGTTAGCGTGAGGAACCTCGTCCTCAGCGTCAGGAACGTTGTCCTCACCGTCAGGAACCTTATCCTCACCGTCAGATACCTTGTCCTCACCGTCAGGAACCTTGTCCTCAGCATCAGGAACCTTGTCCTCAGCGTCAGGAACCTTGTCATCAGCATCAGGAACCTTGTCGTCACCATCAGGAACCTTGTCTTCACCGTCAGGAACCTTGTCCTCAGCGTCAGGAACCTTGTCGTCAGCGTCTGGATCCTTGTCCTCACCGTCAGGAACTTTGTCCTCCCCGTCAGGAACCTTGTCCTCAGCGTTAGGGACCTTCTCCTCAGCGTTCGCAACCTTCTTCTCAGATTCCGCAACCTTGTTCTCAGCATCAGGAACCTTGTCCTCGGTGTCAGCACATTGTCCTCACCGCCAGGAACCTTGTCCTCAGCGCCAGGAACCTTGTCCTCAGCCTCAGGAAACTTGTCCTCAGCGTCAGGAACCTTGTTCTCAGCGTCAGGAACCTTGTCCTCACCGTCTAGTACCTTGTCCTCACCGTCAGGAACCCTGTTCTCACTGTGAGGAACCTTGTCCTCAGCGTCAGGAACCTTGTCCTCAGCGTCAGGAACCTTGTCCTCAGCGTCAGAAACCTTGTCCTCAGCGTCAGCAACCTTGTCCTCAGCGTCAGGATCCTTGTCCTCACCGTCAGGAACTTTGTCCTCCCCGTCAGGAACCTTGTCCTCAGCGTTAGGAACCTTCTCCTCAGAGTACCCACCTTCTCCTCAGATTCCGCAACCTTGTTCTCAGCATCAGGAACCTTGTCCTCGGTGTCAGCACCTTGTCCTCACCGCCAGGAAGCTTGTCCTCAGCGCCAGGAACCTTGTCTTCAGCCTCAGGAAACTTGTCCCCAGCGTCAGAAACCTTGTTCTCAGCGTCAGGAACCTTGTCCTCACCGTCTAGTACCTTGTCCTGACCGTCAGGAACCCTGTTCTCACTGTGAGGAACCTTGTCGTCAGCGTCAGGAACCTTGCCCTCAGCGTCAGGAACCTTGTCATCAGCGTAAGGAACCTTGTCCTCAAAGTCAGTCACCTTGTCCTCACCGTCAGGAACCTTGTCCTCACTATCAGGAACCTTGTTCTCAGCCTCAGGAACCTTGTCCTCAACGTCAGGAACCTTGTCCTCATCGTCAGGAACCTTGTCCTCACCGTCAGGAACCTAGTCCTCACCGTCAGGAACCTTGTCCTCAGCGCCAGGAACCTTGTCCTCAGCGTCAGGAACCTTCTCCTTAGCGTCAGGAACCTTGTCGTCACAGTCAGGAACCTTGTCCTCAGCGTCAGGAACCTTCTCCTCAGCGTCAGGAACATTGTCCTCGGCGTCAGGAACCTTGTCCTCTCCGTCAGGAACCTTGTCCTCACTCTCAGGAACCTTGTCCTCACCGTCAGGAACCTTGCCCTCACAGTCAGGAACCTTGTTCTCAGCATCAGGAACATTGTCCTCAGCGTCAGGAACCTTGTCCTCAGCGTCAGGAACCTTGTCCTCAGCGTCAGCAACCTTGTCCTCAGCGTTAGGAACCTTGTCCTCAGCCTCAGGAACCTTGTTCTCCCCGTCAGGAACCTTGTCCTCAGCGTCAGGAACCTTGTCCTCAGCCTCAGGAACCATGTCCTCAGCCTCAGGAACCATGTCCTCAGCCTCAGGAACCTTGTCCTCAGCGTTAGGACCTTGTCCTCAGCGTTAGGAAACTTGTGCTCAGCGTTAGGAACCTTGTCTTCAGCCTCAGGAACCTTGTCCTCAGCATCAGGAACCTTGTTCTCAGCGTTAGGCACCTTGTCCTAAGCGTTAGGAACCATGTCCTCAGCGTCAGGAACCTTGTCCTCACCGTCAGGAACCTTGTCCTCAGCGTCAGGAACCTTGTCCTCAGCCTCAGGAACCATGTCCTCAGGGTCAGGAACCTTGTCCTCAGCGTTAGGAACCTTGTCCTCAGCCTCAGGAACCTTGTCCTCAGCCTCAGGAACCTTGTCTCAGCGTTAGGAACTTTTTCCTCACCGTCAGGAATCTTGTCCTCAGCAACAGAAACCTTTCCGTCAGCGTCAGGAACCTTGTCCTCAGCGTCAGGAACCTTGTCTTCTCCGTCGGGAACTTTGTCCTCACAGTCAGGGACCTCCTCAGCGTCAGGAACCTTGTCCTCAGCATCAGGCACCTTGTCCTCAGCGTCAGGAGCCTTGTCCTCAGCGTCAGGAACCTTGTCCTCAACGTGATGAACCTTGTCCTCACCGTCAAGAACCTTGTGCTCACAGTCAGGAACCTTGCCCTCAGCGCCAGGAACCTTGTCCTCAGCGTCAGGAACCTTGCCCTCAGCGTCAGGAACCTTGTCCTCACCGTCAGGAACCTTGTCCTCAGCGTCAGGAACCTTGTCCTCAGCGTCAGGAACATTGTCCTCAGCGTCAGGAACCTTGTCCTCAGCATCCGGAACCTTGTCCTCACCGTCAGGAAGCTTGTCCTCACCGTCAGGAACGTTGTGCTCACCGTCAGGAACCTTGTCCTCACAGTCAGGAACCTTGTCCTCAGCATCAGGAATCTTGTCCTCAGCGTCAGAAACATTGTCCTCAGCGTCAGATACCTTGCCCTCAGCGTCAGGAACCTTGTCCTCACCGTCAGGAACCTTGTTCTTAGCGTCAGGAGCCTTGTCCTCAGCGTCTGGAACCTTGTCCAGAGCGTTAGAAACCTCCTCAGCGTCAGGAACCTTGTGCTCACCGTTCGGAACCTTCTCCTCAGCATCAGGAACCTTGTCCTTACCTTCAGGAACCTTGTTCTCACCGTCAGGAACCTTCTCGTCACCGTTAGCAACCTTGTCCTAACTGTCAGGAACCTTGTCGTCAGCGTCAGGAACCTTCTCCTTAGCGTCAGGAACCTTGTCGTCAGCGTAAGTAACCTTGTCCTCACAATCAGGAACCTTTTCCTCACAGTCAGCAACCTTGTCCTCACTGTCAGGAACCTTGTCCTCAGCGTCAGGAACCTTGTCCTCAGCGTCAGGAACCTTGTCCTCAGCGTCAGAAACCTTGTCCTCAGCGTCAGCAACCTTGCCCTCAGCGTCAGGAACCTTGTCCCCAGTGTAAGCAACCTTGACCTCACCGTCAGGAATCTTTTCCTCACAGTCAGGAACCTTGTCTTCAGCGTCAGGAACCTTGTCCTCAGCGTCAGGAACCTTGTCGTCAGTGTCAGGAACCTTGACCTCACCGTCAAGAACCTTGTCCTCACCGTCAGGAACCTTGTCCATACCATCAGGAACCTTGTCTTCACCGTCAGGAACCTTGTCCTCAGCGTCAGGAACCTTGTCCTCAGCCTCAGGAACCATGTCCTCAGGGTCAGGAACCTTGTCCTCAGCGTTAGGAACCTTGTCCTCAGCCTCAAGAACCTTGTCCTCAGCGTCAGGAACCTTGTCTCAGCGTTAGGAACTTTGTCCTCACCGTCAGGAATCTTGTCCTCAGCAACAGAAACCTTTCCTTCAGCGTGAGGAACCTTGTCCTCAGCGTCAGGAACCTTGTCTTCTCCGTCGGGAACTTTGTCCTCACAGTCATGGACCTCCTCAGCGTCAGGAACCTTGTCGTCAGCATCAGGCACCTTGTCCTCAGCGTCAGGAGCCTTGTCCTCAGCGTAAGGAACCTTGTCCTCAACGTGAGGAACCTTGTCCATACCGTCAAGAACCTTGTGCTCACAGTCAGGAACCTTGTCTTCAGCGCCAGGAACCTTGTCCTCAGCGTCAGGAACCTTGTCCTTAGCGTCAGGAACCTTGTCCTCACCGTCAGGAACCTTGTCCTCAGCGTCAGGAACCTTGTCTTCAGCGTCGGGAACATTGTCCTCAGCGTCAGGAACCTTAAAATTTAAAATTTACTCTTCGAAATATCGAATTTACTCTTCAAAACTTGGAATATACTCTTCAAAATATCGAATTTACTCTTCAAATCTTGAAATTTACTCTTCAAACTTAGAATTTTCTCTTCAAATATTAGAATTTACTCTTCGAAATATATAATTTACTCTTTAAAACATAGAATTTATTCTTCAAAATATCGAATTTACTCTTCAAATCTTGGAATTCACTCTTCAAACTTAGAATTTTCTCTTCAAAACTTAGAATTTACTCTTCAAAATATCGAATTTACTCTTCAAAACTTGGAATTTACTCTTCAAACTTAGAATTTTCTCTTCAAATCTGGGAATTTACTCTTCGAAACATAGAATTTACTCTTCAAAACTTAGAATTTACTCTTCAAAACATCGAATTTACTCTTCAAATCTTGGAATTTACTCTTCAAACTTAGAATTTTCTCTTCAAATATTAGAATTTACTCTTCGAAACATAGAATTTACTCTTCAAAACTTAGAATTTACTCTTCAAAATATCGAATTTACTCTTCAAATCTTGGAATTTACTCTTCAAACTTAGAATTTTCTCTTCAAATATTAGAATTTACTCTTCGAAACATAGAATTTACTCTTCAAAACTTAGAATTGACTCTTTAAAATATCGAATTTACTCTTCAAATCTTGGAATTTACTCTTCAAACTTAGAATTCTCTCTTCAAATATTAGAATTTACTCTTCGAAACATAGAATTTACTCTTCAAAACTTAGAATTTACTCTTCAAAATATCGAATTTACTCTTCAAATCTTGGAATTTACTCTTCAAACTTAGAATTTTCTCTTCAAAACTTAGAATTTACTCTTCAAAATATCGAATTTACTCTTCAAATCTTGGAATTTACTCTTCAAACTTAGAATTTTCTCTTCAAATATTAGAATTTACTCTTCGAAACATAGAATTTACTCTTCAAAACTTAGAATTTACTCTCCAAAATATCGAATTTACTCTTCAAAACTAGGAATTTACTCTTCAAACTTAGAATTTTCTCTTCAAATATTAGAATTTACTCTTCGAAACATATAATTTACTCTTCAAAACTTAGAATTTACTCTTCAAAATATCGAATTTACTCTTCAAATCTTGGAATTTACTCTTCAAACTTAGAATTTTCTCTTCAAATATTAGAATTTACTCTTGAAACATAGAATTTACTCTTCAAAACTTAGAATTTACTCTTCAAAATATCGAATTTACTCTTCAAATCTTGGAATTTACTCTTCAAACTTAAATTTTCTCTTCAAATATTAGAATTTACTCTTCGAAACTTAGAATTTACTCTTCAAAACTTAGAATTTACTCTTCAAAATATCGAATTTACTCTTCAAATCTTGGAATTTACTCTTCAAACTTAGAATTTTCTCTTCAAAGCTTAGAATTTACTCTTCAAAATATCGAATTTACTCTTCAAAACTTGGAATTTACTGTTCAAAATATCGAATTTACTCTTCAAATTTTGGAATTTACTCTTCAAACTTAGAATTTTCTCTTCAAATATTAGAATTTACTCTTCGAAACTTAGAATTTACTCCTCAAAACTTAGAATTTACTCTTCAAAATATCAGAATTTACTCTTCAAATCTTGGAATTTACTCTTCAAACTTAGAATTTTCTCTTCAAATATTAGAATTTACTCTTCGAAACATATAATTTACTCTTCAAAACTTAGAATTTGCTCTTCAAAATATCGAATTTACTCTTCAAAACTTGGAATTTACTCTTCAAACTTAGATTTTCTCTTCAAATATTAGAATTTACTCTTCGAAACATAGAATTTACTCTTCAAAACTTGGAGTTTACTCTTCAAAATATCGAATTTACTCTTCAAATCTTGGAATTTACTCTTCAAACTTAGAATTTTCTCTTCAAATCTTAGAATTTACTCTTCGAAACATAGAATTTACTCCTCCAAACGTAGAATTTACTCTTCAAAATATCGAATTTACTCTTCAAATCTTGGAATTTACTCTTCAAACATAGAATTTTCTCTCCAAATATTAGAATTTACTCTTCGAAACATAGAATTTACTGCTCAAAACTTAGAATTTACTCTTCAAAATATCGAATTTACTCTTCAAATCTTGAGATTTACTCTTCAAACTTATAATTTTCTCTTCAAATATTAGAATTTACTCTTCGAAACATAGAATTTACTCTTCAAAACTTAGAATTTACTCTTCAAAATATCGAATTTACTCTTCAAATCTTGGAATTTATTCTTCAAACTTAGAATTTTCTCTTCAAATATTAGAATTTACTGTTCGAAACATAGAATTTACTCTTCAAAACTTAGAATTTACTCTTCAAAATATCGTATTTACTCTTCAAAACTTGGAATTTACTCTTCAAACTTAGAATTTTCTCTTCAAAACTTAGAATTCACTCTTCAAAATATCGAATTTACTCTTCAAATCTTGGAATTTACTCTTCAAACTTAAAATTTTCTCTTCAAATATTGGAATTTACTCTTCGAAACATAGAATTTACTCTTCAAAACTTAGAATTTACTCTTCAAAATATCGAATTTACTCTTCAAATCTTGGAATTTACTCTTCAAACTTAGAATTTTCTCTTCAAATATTAGAATTTACTCTTCGAAACATAGAATTTACTCCTCAAAACTTAGAATTTACTCTTCAAAATATCGAATTTACTCTTCAAATCTTGGAATTTATTCTTCAAACTTAGAATTTTCTCTTCAAAACTTAGAATTTAATCTTCGAAATATCGAATTTACTCTTCAAGACCTGGAATTTACTCTTCGAAATATCGAATTTACTCTTCAAATCTTGGAATTTACTCTTCAAACTTAGAATTTTCCCTTCAAATATTCGAATTTACTCTTCGAAACATAGAATTTACTCTTCAAAACTTAGAATTTACTCTTCATAATATCGAATTTACTCTTCAAATCTTGGAATTTACTCTTCAAACTTAGAATTTTCTCTTCAAAACTTAGAATTTACTCTTCAAAATATCGAATTTACTCTTCAAAACTTAGAATTTACTCTTCATAATATCGAATTTACTCTTCAAATCTTGGAATTTACTCTTCAAACTTAGAATTTTCTCTTCAAAACTTAGAATTTACTCTTCAAAATATCGAATTTACTCTTCAAAACTTGGAATTTACTGTTCAAAATTACAATTTTCTCTTCAAATATTAGAATTTACTCTTCGAAACATAGAATTTACTCTTCAAAACTTAGAATTTACTCTTCAAAATATCGAATTTTCTCTTCAAATAATAGAATTTACTCTTCGAAACATAGAATTTACTCTTCAAAACTTAGAATTTACTCTTCAAAATATCGAATTTACTCTTCAAATCTGGAATTTACTCTTCAAACTTAGAATTTTCTCTTCAAATCTTAGAATTTACTCTTCGAAACATATTTCTCTTCAAAGCTTAGAATTTACTCTTCAAAATATCGAATTCACTCTTCAAAACTTGGAATTTACTCTTCAAACTTAGAATTTTCTCTTCAAATATTAGAATTTACTCTTCGAAACATAGAATTTATTCTTCAAAACTTCGAATTTACTCTTCAAAATATCGAATTTACTCTTCAAATCTTGGAATTTACTCTTCAAACTTAGAATTTTCTCTTCATAACTTAGAATTTACTCTTCAAAATATCGAATTTACTCTTCAAATCTTGGAATTTACTCTTCGAAATAGAATTTACTCTTCAAAAATTAGAATTTACTCAACAAAATATCGAATTAACTCTTCAAATCTTGGAATTTACTCTTCAAACTTAGAATTTTCTCTTCAAATAGTAGAATTTACTCTTCGAAACATAGAATCTACTCTTAAAAACTTAGGATTTACTCTTCAAAATATCGAATTTACTCTTCAAATCTTGGAATTTACTTTTCAAACTTAGAATTTTCTCTTCAAATATTATAATTTACTCTTCGAAACATAGAATTTACTCTTCAAAACTTAGAATTTACTCTTCAAAATATCGAATTTACTCTTCAAATCTTGGAATTTACTCTTCAAACTTAGAATTTTCTCTTCAAATATTAGAATTTACTCTTCGAAACATAGAATTTACTCTTCAAAACTTAGAATTTACTCTTCAAAATATCGAATTTACTCTTCAAATCTTGGAATTTACTCTCTTCAAACTTAGAATTTTCTCTTCAAATATTAGAATTTACTCTTCGAAACATAGAATTTACTCTTCAAAACTTAGAATTTACTCTTCAAAATATCGAATTTACTCTTCGGAACTTAAAATTTAGTCTTCAAAACTTAGAATTTACTCTTCAAATCTTAGAATTTACTCTTTTAAATATCGAATTTACTCTTCAAAACTTAGAATTTACTCTTCAAAACTTTGAATTTACTCTTCAAAACTTAGAATTTACTCTTCAAACTTAGAATTTTCTCTTCAAAACTTAGAATTTACTCTTCAAAATATCGAATTTACTCTTCAAAACTTTGTATTTGCTCTTCAAAACTTAGAATATACTCTTCAAAACCTAGAATTTACACTTCAAACTTAGAATTTTCTCTTCAAAACTTGTAATTTACTCTTCAAAATATAGATTTTACTCTTCAAAACTTAGAATTTACTTGACAAAACTTAGAATTTACCCTTCTAAACTTAGAATTTACTCCTCAAAACTTAGAATTTACTCTTCAAGACTTAGAATTTATTCTTCAAAGTTTAGGATTTACTCTTAAAAAAAATTGAATTTACCTTTTAAAACTTAGAATTTACTTTTCAAAACTTAGAATTTACTCTTCAAAACTTAGAATTTACCCTATGAGACTTAGAATTTAATCTTCAAAACTTAGAATTTACTCTTCAAAACTGAGAAATTACTGTCCAAATCTTAGAATTTACTCTTCAAAACTTAGAATTTACTCTTTAAAATATCGAATTTACTCTTCAAAACTTCGAATTTGCTCTTCAAAACTTAGAATATACTCTT